CTGACATGCCTTTTTACTTTTCTCTTAGCCCATGTTTTGGAGTACTGAATTTGTGTTTCTTTTTGACTGATGAAATAACTATTCTTAAACCCCTTTTCTCCTGCATTTGACCATGAAAGGTAGAACAGGTTCTAACTTTGGTGATAATTATTCGTGTTTTACTAATGACTGTAATGTTTATTCACATCTCAGGAAAACTGCAGACATGACCCCTTTGACATAGAAAATCACCTTCACTCACTCCTGGACTATTCAATGATGATTTTGAGTCACCTTATCAGTGAATAGAGAACCAAAGTGTAGATTAGGGAACAAAAAGGTCCTTGAGACTTATCACACAATGAACTTGAAATATGTAGTTGGAGGCAAATGGGACAAAGAAACCTTTTATTCCCTTACATCTCCATTATTTCATTGAAATACTTTTTCCTCTCATATTGGAAAAGACTCCCACATGAATTAAAGGCTGTAATCTAATGTATTACAGTTATAAAAGTAATTATAGCTTCACTCCTAGTAGAGGGATTTTGTGACTAGAGAACTCGTGATCACTAGTGAACCCCTACTGGAAGATGGTGTCTTGGATGAAGGCTGCAACTAACACAGAGACAGGCGCTGACCAGTTAGCTTAGTTGGTTAGAACATGGTGCTGATGACCAAGGTCACGGGTTCAGATCCCCATCCTGGCCAGCCACCAAAAAAAAAAAGAAACAAATGAACACACAGGCTTATGTGAGGTCATGATTCAGAAAATGCTCATAAACCAAGTACAGTAAATATAGAAAAGTCAAGTATGAAAAGGTAGAGGAAGAGCAGGAAAAGGAGGAAGAGAAATCAAAACAGCACAGCATTCCAAGTACGAGCCCACAGCCCGGGGTATCCTCACAGAACGCGAGAGGGAAAGGGGTCAGGAGAAACGGTACCTCAGTGAAGAACCTACCCACGCAGCTCACGATGAAACAGGTGCTGAGCAGCATGATGGAGATCCCAGCAACAGACCAGAGCCTCAGGGACCACCCGGCTCCTTTCTCTGTCAGATCAGCAAGAAAAAATGCAGTCACCAGAGGGTCAGAAAGCCAGAATCCCCAGAAAGCTTCGAGCAATGAAGAAACCAGACAAATAACTTCAGAGCAATTTAAAACATAAAGCAAGAAGAGAGTTTAAAAACTCCTTCAGAATAAATAACCAGGTCGTATCTTCAAAGCCCAAAACAATCTGGGAAAAATTCATCCTCAGCCAACTGTAATTTCCATTTCCTTATTTTTTCTTCTTAAATACTACATTCTTCTGTTGACTCTCCATCTTTCCCAAAACATCGCTTTTCTCTCCCACT